AAAAATTTGAAACTTTTACATCTATTTGGAAAGAAACTTGCTTAGTAGTTCTAACTTCAATGGATGTCCCTCTTCTTTGATCCTAGTACACTTTTAGTTATCATTAATAATAATTTCCTAATGATATACGTATATGCTTTATTATGAAGTTATTATTCAGGGCATGGATCATGCATCTGATCTTCGTAGTTAAATACATACAAAAACTATTACGTTATTAATATGTACAATCTCAGCTGACTAGGCTAACAAAAATATACTATATATACAACCAAAATGTTTCCTGATGACCAACAACATTCCTTATCAGCTTCCAACCTTTTAACTTCCTTCTCCTTCCACCCCTCTGACTTTATCAATTATTGGCTTAGCTGTATGTCATAGAAGAACGGGTGAGATTCTAGGAATCTAGGTAGTAACATCAATCCATCATATAGTTATACAAGTTCATAAACACATGCAAAATAAGCCATAACAATACCACTTGATAAATCAAGCATGAATAGTGAGGCACAAACATCATCTGCTTTGCCATGCAAATGGCCATGGCAGATAGAGTCTATTCAATCAATTTTGCACGTACTCTTACATGAGTAAAGCTTTACGAGCTCAATATAAAGCAAATGTTACGTACTCTTACCTAAGTACAGCTCTACGAGCTCACATGTTCACAACAAAACATACGACCATATATTTATACCAGAACGTAGGCACTATGGCACAAACAGACATCTAGAATAATTGCATAAATATATGAGAGGGAAAGAGTTACTACCTGGAGTCCCTTCTTCCAACTTACCTTTCTCTTTGTCACATCCACCAAAATTTAACCTTGATAATGAGCATGAAATTAAGTCAAGGGCCAATATGAAAAGTAGATTAGTTGACAAAGCCAGACATGACATAAAACCCAGACAGGGTCTAGATTGATATTTTTGAAATTATCGATCCATGAAGGGTAAAATGGAAAATTTTCAGAAAAATTTCAAAAAAATTTCTTAAAAATAGTAAAAAGGTAAATTAGGGGTTTTTGAGGCCCTAGAGATGGAAATAATATGAAAATAACTTATTATAGAATTTCCTGAAAACAGAGGTTTTTTAAGAAAAATTGTAGAAATTGAGTAGAAATAATTATTTTAAATATGTAAATGCCTCAATAATTCCAAGAAAAAGATGGGAAAATTATTTAAGATTTATTTGATTTTATAAAATTATATACAGGCCTTAGAAGTGCAGGAATTAATTTTAGAATATTTATTACCGAAATCTTATTAGTAATGTGACAACTGTTCTTTCAAAACCATTTTAGATTAAATCCAACAATTTATTTGAATGATTAAACATGATAGAAAAGAAGAAACCTTAGAATTTTAAAATCACTATCATGGTTAAAAGAAATAATACGAGCCACATCAATCGTTAACTTGGGCCTTGAACTTTCAAAGTCCAGAAATATCATTCAACCGTTAGCCCAAACCAAACTTATACTTTCAACCACACGAACTGATAAAACATTTTAATATAAGTCATGGAGCCCATTAGTCAAAAGTCAACACTATCAAATGAGCATAATACGCAAAGTCTTAAATATCTTTGGCCTTCCAATAACCTCCCATATCAGATAGTAGTAATTAAAAGTATTAGTTTATAGTATTAGAGTATATGGGCCCTATGTGGCAATATATAACAAGTCAACACATAAAACAAAAGCAGGGAGGCTATACAAGCTGCAACAGCACACTATGCCTCTGGAGCCTTCCCTGATGGGTCACCACCTGAACTATCACCTGAAAATAGTAAAAACCACGGGTGAAACAAATGCCTCAGTAACCAACTTTCCAACTCACCATACATATTAACACGTACTCGTGAGGTGTTAAGTGGGACAATTATTAATTCTCAAAAACATAGATATATAATTTCAATCATCCAAACCCTCACTATGGGGGCTAATACACAAGCCACATAAGTCTATCTCTCACTATAGGGGATTAATCAGACATATAGGCTATCCCTTACTCTGGGGGATGAATAAGAAGCCACAAAAGCATATCCCTCACTATGGGGGACGAAGAAGAAGCCAACCAATGTGCACCAATGATGGCCTTACCACGTGGTAGGATAACCCTAAAATTATTAAGTATTTTAGAAACAACTTAAAATTTCTAACAACCCAAATTATTTATTTACCACCTCCAAATTATTTACCTTAATAAAAAGGATTTTCCACAATTTCCAAATATAAAATTATTATGTTCTAAATTCTAAAAATCTCATTTTAAGTTTAAACCTCAAAATCAAACTATTAAAAATTCAATAATATTTCAAATATTTATAAATAAATAATCTAATCAAAACTTTAATGGTATAACTACCACATATATATATTTCCATAAATAATAAAATTTTTAGCTACAATAATTATTTTAAAACCTCCAGTCACTCAATAAATAAAACTAAACTGATTATCAAACAATCCAAATAAATTATTTAACTTGAATTTAATCGGTAAAAATATGATATATCCCATAAATAACAGATTTTCAACTAAATAAATTAATTTAAATACTAAAACTAACAAATAGAGAAATCTAAACCGATTAAAATTAACAACTCATTTAATTTTAAATTTCTATAGTCATCTTTTGTCAAAACTCAATACTTAGATCATATATAAGTCTCGAAATTTTCTCCAATCACTATAGTAATAATGTAAACAGGAAGCTCAAAATATACAGGAAATATTCATAAAGAAAGTTTGATAAAAAGAAGTAATTTATGTACCTAAAATATCTTCAAAGCTTGCCTTCTTCCTCACAGTGACCGACGATAGCTCTCTGCACTCTTTCACGCACTCTATCTCTCTTTCTCTCTATCTTTCTTGTGTTGAGGAGGCAAAATGAATTGTTGGGGGTGTATTTAACACCCCCGGCACATTTATTTGGGGGGGGGGATTTTCAAACTCAACCCCCAACCCCACCGCCCCCTAACTTTCCACCGATTAGGTGGAAAGTTGGACTTTTTTTTAAATTTTATTATTATTTCATTATAATAAAATATTATTATTATTATTTTTACATAAATCCTAAAAATTAATCTAGGATATTACAATTCTCCCCACCTAATTAGAATTTTTTCCTCAAAATTCAAACAACCACACACAAGAAATAAAAACAAAAGTAATTCAAAGTGCTTACTAAGAAAACAGGTAAGGGTACTCGTAACGCATTCGTTCCTCTATCTCCCAAGTAGCATCACCGGGACTCATACCCTTCCAAAAGACTTAACAAGACGGATAGTTTTGTTCCTTAATTGTTTGTCCTTAGCGTCCAAAATCCGCTTTGGTTCTGTTGGATAGGTCAAATTATCTCGCAACTCGACTTCTTCGGGTTCAATAACATGAGACAGATTGGGATAATACTTCTTTAACTGCGACACGTGGAACACATCATGTAAACTAGAAAGATGTGGAGGCAACACAATCCGATATGCAACAGGTCCAATTCGCTCTAAAATCTCATAAGGACCTATAAATCAGGGTGTAAGCTTCTTGGCTTTAATGGATCTACCAACACCGGTGACAGGTGAAACCTTCAAAAATACATGATCACCCACTTCAAATTCTAAAGGTCTCCTCCGACGATCCGTATAACTCTTCTGTGACTTTGGGCCATCAACAACTTCTGCTTGATTAGTTCAATCTTTTTGGTTGTGATATCCACTAAATCTGGGCCAATAATTATTCTTTCACTTAATTCAGTCCAACAAAGTGGAGATCTACACTTCCTCCCGTACAAAGCTTCATATGGTGCCATTTGAATACTAGCGTGATGGTTGTTGTTATAGGCAAACTCTGCTAATGACAAGTGAGTGTCCCAACTACCCTTTAGCTCTATAGCGTAAGCCCTCACCATGTCCTCGAGAGTCTAAATCGTCCTCTCAGTCTGTCCATCAGTCTGAGGATGATAAGTAGTACTAAACTTGAGCTAAGTACCCATAGCTTCATGTAATAATTGCTAGAAGTTCAATGTAAACCTCGGGTCCCTATCTGAAATGATAGAATTTGGCACTCCGTGAAGTTGAACAATCTCATCTATATACATCTTTGTTAATCTTTCTAAAGAGCAAGTACTCTTGATAGGTAGGAAGTACGCTGACTTAGTCAATTTATCTACAATTACCCATATCGCATCATAGCCAGCCGGGGTTCTTGGCATACCAGTAATGAAATCCATAGAAATGCTGTCCCATTTCCATTGGGGAATATCGAGATTCTTTAATAGTCCTAGAGGTCTCTGATGTTCTATCTTGGCCCTTTGACATGTCAGACACTTCATTACAAAATCCATGACATCTCTCTTCATTTTTGGCCACCAGTAGTTCTTTTTTAGGTCTTGGTACATCTTGGTTATCCCTGGGTGTATCGTGTAATTACTTTGATGCGCCTCTTCTAGAATAGTCCTTTTGATTTCCTCATTATTAAGGACACAAATCCTCTTCTTGTACCTCAGGATTCCTTCTTCACTAATTTCATAATCAGGCATACGATGGGTCTCCACTTCCTCTCGGATGCTTAGTAACCGGTTATCCTCTATCTGTGCAACCTTCAAGTCTCAAAAGAACTCATAATCACCCAAAATTGATTGTAGAGTGGCTGGAGCCTTATGCACCACTTGGAGATCTCTCAATCTCTCTAAGCAGTAGTGTTCCTCCAAACTCATGTGAAACACATGCACCTTTTTCCTACTCAAAGCGTCTGCAACCACATTGACTTTACTCAGATGATACTTAAGCTAAAAGTCATAGTCCTTGATGAATTCCATCCACCGACGTTGTCTATTATTCAATTCCTTCTGATCTATTAAATACTTCAGGCTCTTGTGATCGCTGAAGACTTCCAACTGTGATCCACATAAGTAGTGCCTCCATATCTTCAATGCAAAAACCACCGCCGCTAATTCCAGGTCATGTGTAGGATAATTATCCTCATGCGGCCTTAATTATCGAGATGCATAGGTAACCACTTTACTTTCCTGCATCAGGACACACCCTAAACCCTTAAGGGAAGCATCAGTATAAAGGGTATATGGTTTACTAGGATCTAGAATAGTCAATAATGGTGCCGTGGTCAACTTAGCCTTCAGTTCTTGAAAAGCTGCCTCACACTTTTCGTTCCAGATAAATGGTTGGTCTTTCTTGGTCAACTTAGTTAGAGGCATGATGATCTGAGAAAATCTCTTGATGAATCTTCGGTAATACCCAACTAAGCCCACGAAACTTCTTACCTCTGTCACAGATTTTGGTGTTTCCCATTTTAACACGGCATCGACCTTGCTAGGATCAACAGCTACTCCCTCGGCAGATACTACATGGCCTAAGCACTTCACTTCTCTAAGCCAAAACTCGTACTTACTTAACTTAGCATACAATTGATGATCCCTTAATATTCGCAATGCAATGTAAAGGTGCTCTTGGTGTTCTTCCTCATTCTTAGAGTATATCAGAATATCATCTATAAACACCACAATAAACTTGTCCAAATATGGCCTAAAGATCCGGTTCATTTAGTCCATAAACACCGCTGGAGCATTCGTCAAACCAAAAGGCATTACTAGAAACTGATAATGTTTGTATCTAGTGTGAAAGTCCGTCTTCGGGATGTCCTCTACTCTAACTCTTAATTGATGATATCCCAACATTAAGTTAATCTTGGAAAACACCGCTGACCCCATTAATTGATCTGGCAAGTTATCAATCCTAGGCAAAGGATATTTGTTCTTGATAGTCACTTTGTTCAACTTCCTGTAATCTATACACAATCTTAAGCTCCCATCTTTCTTTCTCACAAACAGTATTGGTGATCCCCACGGGGAGACACTTGGTCTAATAAATCCTTTTTCAAGTAACTCTTTGATTTGCGTTTTCAGCTCTGCCAATTCAGAAGGTGACATTCTGTACGGTGCTTTAGAAATTGGAGTTGTCCTTGGTACTAGCTTAATGGAGAATTCAACTTCCCTTTCAGGAGGTAAACCAAACACTTCCTCAGGAAACTCCTTTACTACCTCAATTTGGTCTATACCAACTTCTTTATCCGTACTAACGAAAAAGAAAACAGCATACGCCTGACAACCCTTCTGAATACACTTAGTTGCTTGAGTAGCAGACAACCACAAATGACCATTAATAGCCTCAACTATCGTAGTGCACAAAGGAAGAGTTACTATCTTTCTTTTGCAATCTAGAATAGTATTATTTGCTGATAGCCAATCCATGCTAATAATCACGTCAATACTCTTGAGGGGTAGACAAATCAAATCAATCACAGACTCACGATTCTCAAGTTTAAGCACAAGACTTAAACACGCCTGTGTGGTTAGCACAGTGGCTCCTGCTGGAGTTGACACTTTCAACATGTAAGACAAATCATGCATTGGAAATTTAAACTTTCGAGCACATTCCGCAGCAATAAAAGAATGAGTGGCACCATAATGAAACAACGCAGGTATATCATGTCCTTGAAGAGAGATAGTACCTCTAATTAGATTAGGAGATGTACCAGCTTCCTCTCTAGTCAGAGCAAAAACTCTCCCAGGCATCGTGGATCTGAAGCTAGGAGTTTGCTGTTGCGTTTCTGGACAATTGCGAGCTATATGTCCAAATTTATGGCATCTGTAGCATTCCCAACACTGTCCTGGGTGATTTCTCCCACATCTCATGCAATGACCACTAATACTTGGTGTGGATCTAGCCGGTTCATAGTGGACACTCCGATCTCCTCCTATACGGTTCCCCTGAGCCTGTCTCCTCTGCATAAAGCCTCCACGGGCTAAATTCTTTTGATTCTGGTTGTTGCCTCTACTTGAGTTACCCGAGCTCCCATAACTATAGCTACCCTTCTTATTGACTCCTCCCATTGGCCTCATAAAACCAGAGAATCTGCCCTAATTATCTCAACGTCGGCTCTCCTCTACCTCTCGGGTTCTGCTAGCTGTCATCCTGAGTTTCGTGCAGGCATCCTTGAAACTCTTAAACTCATATAAAGCCATTTGCTATTTCAACTCTGGCCTCGCCCATTCTATTAATTGTCGAGCCATCCACTCTGGGTTATCATTCTGCTGTAGGTAAGTAACATGCTTGGAGAGGTCAATATATTTGGCAATAAACTCATCCTTATGCATGTTCTTCTGTCAAAGAGAATAAAAAGCGGTTTCTTTTTCTTGTCTCATGGCTGGGGGAAAGTAGTAATCAAAGAACATCTGCTTGAATTCATTCTAAGTAATCCCCGAGTCATCTATGCCGCTTACGATCCTCCACCACCTCTTAGCTTGGTCCCTCAATAAGACTACCGCTGCTTATACCTTTTGGTAGGTATTACAGCCACAAGCTTTAAATATTGTCTCCATATCATCGATCCAAGCCTCAGCTTTGTCAGGATCCATACCTCCATCAAAAGTCTTCGGGTGATGCCGCCCTATGTCCTTCCATACACTTTTAAGGTTTACCACCTCTTCTTTTCCTTGTCGCCTTTGTGAACTACTCTCTTCTCTGGTTCCTTCAATGGAATCCCTGTGGGTGACAGAATTTCCCACAGATGGCCTAGGAAGTCCACTCCCTTCAAACTCTTCCACAGCTTTCTTGATTCTCAAATCTTCCTCCATCTTCCTTACTCTCTCATCTACCACCGTAACTACCACTTCCCTTAGCTGTTGCAATAAGGTCTCTTGGTTAAACTGCAGAGGATTCAGTGGTTGATTAGGCGGGTTTGTAGATTCATCCCCACCTTGATCGATTTGTCGGGATCGCGTCCATACCATCCTCCCCACCTAAGGATGGAACCCACCAAAAGAAACACAAAGTAAAGTCAAGCACAGATACAAAGTAATAGGGAAGGTTATGTGAGATTATTATATATTGCCACTAAATGCAATGTAATGTAACTCAGTTCACAGAATCTTTAGCTCTGATACCAAATTGTGACAACTGTTCTTTCAAAACCATTTTAGATTAAATCCAACAATTTATTTGAATGATTAACCATGATAGAAGAGAAGAAACCTTAAAATTTTAAAATTGCTATCATGGTTAAAAGAAATAAACTTATATTACGAGCCACATCAATTGTTAACTTGGGCCTTGAACTTTCAAAGTCCAAAAATATCATTCCACCCTTAGCCCAAACCAAACTTATACTTTCAACCACACGAACTGATAAAATATTTTAATATAAGTCATGGAGCCCATTAGTCAAAAGTCAACACTATCAAATGGGCATAATATGCAAAGTCTTAAATATCTCTAGCCTTCCAATGACCTCCCATATTAGATAGTAGTAATTAAAAGTATTAGTTTATAGTATTAGAGTATATGGGCCCTATGTGGCAATATATAACAATTCAACATATAAAACAAAAGCAAGAAGGCTATACAAGCTGTAACAGCACACTATGCTTCCGCAGCCTTCCCTGATTGGTCACCACCTGAACTATCATCTGAAGATAGTAAAAACCACGGGGTGAGACAAACGCCTCAGTAACCAACTTTCCAACTCACCATACATATTAACACGTGCTCGTGAAGTGTCAAGTGAGACAGTTATTATTCTAAAAAACATAGATATATAATTTCAATAATTCAAACCCTCACTATGAGGGCTAACACACAAGCCACATAAGTCTATTCCTCACTATGGGGGATTAATCAGACATATAGGCCTATCCATCACTATGGGGGATTAATCAGACATATAAGCCTATCCCTCACTGTGGGGGACGAATAAGAAGCCACAAAAGCCTATCCCTCACTATGGGGGACGAAGGAAGAAGCCAACCAATGTGCACCAATGGCGGCCTTACCACATGGTAGGATAGTGTTCAATCCAAAATCCAAATAACAACCAATCATTCACAATATAACGAAAAATATCTCAATCTTTTCTCAGTATAATCCATAAGATATAAATCATATATCTTTTCCAAACTTCTCAATCACAATTCCAAAAATCCCACAAGACAATTTTCATAGCTCAGAAGATATAATATATTTACTCGAATTCCAAATAACAAATATTACTCAAAAATAGGAAAATACTCACAAACAACATATTAGCACATATAACAAGTGGAAAGTGGTTACTTCTCGTCAAAGCAATACTAAGGATTACCACAGGGTCAATCCTTTGCTCAACCAATAATTAATCTACACAATTAATATAACTACATATTAATATAAACTAATTAATTAATTAAACTTCTCTATCTTAGTTAAATTTATAATTTAATTAAATTTTTATTCTAAATTCCCGCAACTCTCATAACCCAAAAATTATTAAGTATTTTAGAAACAACTTAAAATTTCTAACAACCCAAATTATTTATTTACCACCTCCAAATTATTTACCTTAATAAAAAGGATTTTTCACAATTTCCAAATATAAAATTATTATGTTCTAAATTCTAAAAATCCCATTTTAAGTTTAAACCTCAAAATCAAACTATCAAAAATTCAATAATACTTCAAATATTTATAAATAAATAATCTAATCAAAACTTTAATGGTATAACTACCATATATATATTTCCGTAAATAATAAAATTTTTAGCTACAATAATTATTTTAAAACCTCCAGTTACCCAATAAATAAAACTAAACCGATTAAAATCTCAATAATATATCAAACAATCCAAATAAATTATTTAACTTGAATTTAATCAGTAAAAATATGATCTATCCCATAAATAACAGATTTTCAACTAAATAAATTAATTTAAATACTAAAACTAATAAATAGAGAAATCTAAACCGATTAAAATTAACAACTCATTTAATTTAAATTTCTATAGTCATATTTTGTCAAAACTCAATACTTAGATCATATATAAGTCTCGAAATTTTCTCCAATCACTATAGTAATAATGTAAATAGGAAGCTCAAAATATAAAGGAAATATTCATAAAGAAAGTTTGATAAAAAGAAGTAATTTATGTACCTAAAATATCTTCAAAGCTTGCCTTCTTCCTCACAGTGACCGACGATAGCTCTCTGCACTCTTTCACGCACTCTATCTCTCTTTCTCTCTGTCTTTCTTGTGCTGAGGAGGCAAAATGAATTGTTGGGGGCGTATTTAACACCCCCGGCACATTTATTTGGGGGGGGGGGATTTTCAAACTCAACCCCCAACCCCCTCCGCCCCCCCAACTTTCCACTGATTTTATTATTATTGTATTATAATAAATTATTATTATTATTTTTTACATAAATCCTAAAAATTAATTTAGGATATTACAAGTAAAGCCTGATTTTAGAGAAAATTTAAAATAAATAGTTAGAAGCTAAGATAAATTTTAAAAATTTTCAGCAGGCTTTCCCATATTACAAGCGGATTTTTCCTGGAGAGAAATGAATTTTTGGAGGCCCAAAACTATTTTTACAAATAATAACCAAAATAGTTAGTTTTGGTTAGAAATTGATAATTGTGATTAGGGCATACTTTCTCTTTTTTTCTAATCATTTTTGGGCTTTATTTTAGACTAAGAGAGCCCAGAAATTTCATGTAGCCATGGTCCGTTACGTAAAGAGAGTTTAAACTCAATTTAAGCTCAAAATCTAAAAGAAAAATCTAGAAGAAAGAACACTTGGCATGATCTGAAATTTGGGGGTTAAGAAGAGGGACACATGGCCCCTTAGGTGGTAGAAAATGAGGCCATTTGGAGGGGTTTAAAGTCAGATTTTGAGCTCTATAAATACCCCCTAATATATGAAATTCGGCCAAAAATTGCCAAAAGAGGGTAAATTCTGTCCAATTAAAATATCACCCTTAAACAACACCCAAAACCTTCTAAATCAAAGGAAAATCATCAAGGTTCAAGCAAGGATTCATTAAGCTATATCTAAGCTTGATTTTGGTTAGATTTAAGGGTTGTTTTAGTTGAAATTTCATGGCAAATCCTAAGTCTACATGCTGCTAATTTTCAGTCAAGTTGAGAATGGATTAGGGAAGGATAGAAACTATAAATATGAGCTTAAAATAGCATGTTTAATTGATGTTTAGATTGAATTTTGGAAGAAAACCAAAGTTAGGGTTTTAAACACACTATTTAGTCACTATGGAATCTTGATGTTAGAGATTGTTTCAATATGATTTCATGATTCCAATGAGTTTAAAATGTGTTTTTGTTAGGGAAACACCAAGAAAAAGTGTTTAAAATCATTGGAATCAAAAATAAAAATTTTAAAATCTAAACCTACCCTATTTGGCCAAATCAGTTTGAAGGGGAAGGAGTGTGATTTTTTAAATCTGATTTGATATTTGGATTCTACATGAAAAATTGTGTAGGAATAGCCTAAGAGATTGATTGAAATAAAGAGAAAATAATTATGTCAAAAATAAGAAAAAAGGGGTTTAATGGAACTTAATATTGAGTATTAGTGTTTATGCTTGGATTATTGGTGATTTGGAATGTGTTTATACTTGGATTGATAGGCATTGTGTAAGAAATCAAAGAAGAGCACAAATTTCCTAAGGAGGCTGAATTGTATAACTAATCAAGAGGTAGCATTGAACTCATAATTTGAATGCTTTCTTGCTTATTTAAATGTGTATGTGTTATTTGATTCATGTTGCCATGATGTGATTGAGCAAAGCATGTAATTATGTGTGGGAATTCTATGTTAAATATGCGTTGGCATCATGTTATGTGGAATGATTAATGGCATGAGATGTGGCTATCTTTCCATGGCAATGAAAGCTTGTAAAAGCTTGTGTATGTTTATGCTAGTTTCATGATAACGTGTCACATTTTCACATAGCATGATTAGCATGACAATTATGATTAATTACTATTGAGATTTCTATGAAATCTCATTCCTTTATGTTCAAATATTCACCAATTAGGGGTTGGATCAAGCAAGGACAAAG